CAAAAAGTTTAGACATGTTTAGACTTGTAAGAAGGACCCCATGAAGGCGCCATGATTTTGGGGAAAGCTCGCTTGGGCCCCGTACTGGAGGAGCTTAAGATCCCAAGATCGTTCCCCAAAATCCGAGACATGGAGAAGTAGTCCCCCAAGGTTCTAGGCACTCTTTGGACCCCTACTACCTGGTNNCTATTTAGGCCATATTCCTTCTTTATTTGGGTCTAGATGAGTAGTGGGGTACCAGGTAGTGGGGGTCCTGAGAGTCCCTAGGACAAGGTGCAGACGACGCAGACTGCACTTTAGCGTCTACCACACAATCCCGCGATGCTGGAGGGGACCAGATGCTGGGTTGCTGTTCAGGAATTTACTTTAATTTACTATATGGGGGAAGCCGTATTAATTACTCTATACATTCATTATGGCAACTTAAACCCTAAATCCTATAAACCCATTTTGGTAATTTACTTTAAGTTCTCTAACAGCAATCCAGGATGTCCTGCGGGAGGAGCTCATCCGACTCTTCGGCAGAAACATTCCACATTCTACAACCTATAATACCCTACAATGAGATATGATATAGATCTCCTAATATAGCACAATATACGTACTATCCACATTGTAGTGTATTATGGCCCAATAATCCGCTCCCCTAATATTAAACACCCCACCCTCCCTGATATTAAATATTCCCCATTGTTTTATATTATTGGGAGTATTTAACAATGGGGGGTAGGGGGTGTAATACTAGGGGGAGGGGATTACCCCACAATGACCTTACAACGGACTGCAACTTATGGCCAGGAAAGGGAAAGACCCAGAAGCAAAGACCACCTGGCTCCACCTACGACACTGGAGCGGAAGCTCTCCTTTGCTGCAGATAGCCTGGATCAGGTTGCTACTGCAATACGCGAAGAGGAGCCGGACTTGGACTGGTTGCAAGGCTCCCTGGTTAGCTTTTAAGGAACATAATTCAAGCTATACTATCTTCCTATAATGGAGAATCAAATGAAAATATGGAAGATGAGATGGAAACTGGGAGAATGTAGGGATTTAAGGAATTTAATTGAAGTTGCGATATTGGGGAAACCCTATGAATTACTACATATACCCATAATGGCAACTTAATTTAAGTTCCTTAACGGCAACCCAGGCTTTTGGGGCCGTGTTTTGGTCAGTCCGCCAACCTCGGAGTGCAAATCCCTGAGTCGGCGCTCCCTCTGCTCCTGGGTGGACATTTTCAACCGCTGGCAAGCTACTGGGTTGCTGTTAAGGCGCTGAAATTCAGATACCATAATGGGTATATATATATATACACACATTATTTAACATACATAGAGGGAAGAATAGGGCTTCCCCAATAAAGTAACATGAATTAAGTTCCTTAACAGCAGCCCAGGCATTGGGTGACTGGAAGCCAGGACAGGCACCTGCGACCCTGGACACCTACCAATTTCAAGAGCTGCTGTCACTTACGATGTGCTTAGCTGAGTTGTTCACTTTGGCGTATAGTCCCCCTTTAGTAGATAGAATATGTCTTTGGGTATATTATAATAAGACCCCCATATACCCCATATTCTATCTACTTAAGGGGGATTATAGGCGCTGGGCTGGGTCCATTCTGGCTCAACGCTTGCAGATCAGCAGTTAGCTGTCATTTGCTGCCTGATGCCGTGTTTGTGTTGCTTCTCTTTGCCGGCTAAGGCCCAAGACATTAGAGTGGGTGAGGCTGTTCGATCCCAGCGCCTTCTCCAGGATGCAGAAAACCAAATGCACTCTGGACTACCGCCGGGGCAAAGTTCCTATACCTGCATCTGGGTTTTTGTTCAAGGACTTTATTTAAATTACTATGTTGGGGAAGTCATATTAACTGCTGTATATGCCTATTATTTTGATTCAATTTAAGTTCCTTAACAGCAGTCCAGGCATTTCTTACAACGGCGATCTTCCTGTCAAGCGCTATACCCAAGCAGCAGAAGATTCGCTTCCTCTTTGGTGTCTTCGATGAAGATGACACCAGGTGGCTGTTAAGGGGTTTAGGGTTTAGGGTTAAGTTGTCATAATGAGTACAGTATATATGTAACACGTACTACAGCTGCCCTCTTCTAGGAACTGAAACTTTGGCTCCTGAACAGCAACCCAGGACACTGGTACACTGGAGATCATGGAGTTTGTGGAGATGCTTTCCTCCTTTTTCCAGGGGATGGCTTGCCTGTTCGGATTGTCAGATCATCCCGACATGCCTAAGGCGGCTGCAAAGCAGGAATTGGGAAAGAAGCTACTGGGGCTGCTCTTAGGGACTTAAATTAAGTTACCATAATGGAGAGAGAGAGAGAGATACATATATATATATGTATATAGAGAGATCGATAGATAGATAGATAGATAGATCGATAGAGAAGAACTAATATGGCTTCCCCAATATAGTAGCTTGAATTAAGTTCCTCAACAGCAACCCAGGCTGTTCCTGAGGATCATGGCCTCCGCCAGCACCAAGATGGCCTTCTGGGAGGCCAAGTCGATGCTTGCTAGCGGGTCGGCTCCGCTGAGCATAATTGAAGACTGGTTCCTGGGTTGCTGTTCAGGAACTTAAATTAAGTTAATCTATTGGGGAAACCCCATTATTTACAATATATACCCATTATGGTAACTTAATTTAAGTTCCTGAACAGCAACCCAGGTTCTTGGGAGCTTCAGGAGATCCGCTCGCTGTTCCATTTGCTCTCCTCTTGGAGCGGTTTTCGGACAGTAACGCGGACGATCCTCTGGCACTTCAGGGCAAGAAACTTCAACTTTCTCATGCAGCTCCAGTGGAGGTGCCCCAGGCAGACGTGGATCCAAGCCAGGATGTCGGGCTTCTTAGCCCCCAGCAGATCAAGAGCGCCTACGATCTTTTCAGCCACTGTCTCTCAGCAGACAGCTTCAGCATCAGCCATGCTGAAGCAGAGCGAGTACTTGGGACGCAGCTTGACCAAGAGTTCTGGAGCCGAAAGCTTTCCCGAGCCTTGGAGGAAACTGCCACGGCGCAGAGCTCTGTGAATCTGATTGGCTTCTTCAAGAAGCTTGCCGGCAGCTCCATGCGTCATTTTCGCATATATCAGGGCTGGCTGAAGGAATTGGACCATGTGGCGAGTTTGAAGGGTGAACTTGCTGAAAGCCGCAAACTTCTCAAGCAGTTTGAGGCCTACATCTCTCGGCCCATCTTACCAGCTGCTGCTCGGAAGGAACTTCTGCAGGAGTACGACAGCCTCAACACAGGTGAGATGGCAACCTCTTCCTTCATGAAGTCCCGGCTGGCCCACGCGGGCCGGATGAGTGCCCGAGTCGCAATTTCGGAATTCAATTCTCCCTTGCTGCTGTATAGGTGGATCCAGTTTTCAAATAACGGGGGGCGCCTTTAGAGGACAACCCAGGTGCAGATGACTTCGTTGCTGCCGTGTGTCCCAGTGACTATCGCCCCAAGCAAGGCAACTCGGAGGTGGATCGTGTCCTTCACGACTTCCTGACCATGCAAGTAGCAAGACAGGAGCAGCTCCTGGCACAAAAGGAAGCCCCGTTTGCAAAAGAGCGCAGCAGAGAGAAAAAGATCCTCCTGAAGTTGCAGGTGAGGGTTTCTCAACATACCTCAGGTTTAGGGTTAAGGGTTCTATATGCCATCCTCATAGTAGGGACCCCCACCATAGTGGCAAGGATAGCTTCAGGGACCCCCTCCCCTCTCAAAGGTGTCTGACAGCTGCTGGAACGCATGGAACCATGTTTTTGACCTGCTTGACATTGACGGCACATGGAGTCTCAGCTTACCGAAGCTTGTAACTGTAGTCTGCTTAGGAATCATTTTTTGTTTTTGTAATAGTATAACCCTAAGGAATTGTTTAAAATGATATTTTCATTACAGGTCTAGGAAGGAGACTACAGGTAAGCCTCCATCTCATCCCCGTCGAGGTCTGTGACTACATGTGCAAGCAGCTGGCTGGCGATTGGCACTTGGGGATACGGGGTGATGATGACCCAAGTTTATCTGGTACGTATACTCCCGTTACCTATAACTTGAGTAGTGCCCCCAGTCTGTAACAGTTGGATAGTATTCATGATATGATTATACGTAGGACTCTTAATATAGACTGCTACAGGGCGGAGGCAGTACCCAACCTATAACTAGGTTGGAATTACAACTATCTGGGTTCTAATTTCCCTCAAGGTCCCAGTAGAAAAAAAGGGAACTGAGGACCAAATGGAAGTTCTGTGAATTCGTGGGACGGGTAAATATGCAGGGATTAGATAGCCCAAAATTATACAGGGAATATATAGAGATATCGCCACAATAACTGAGAATCAAATAGCCAAATAAAAACAAAAAAACACATAAGTTGCATGGAACCTGGGATGATGTAGGTATATGATAGTTGTTCGAAATAACTACACCCAAAAAGTCCATAAATCACATTCCCTCTTTGTTAGGAGCCCCCCTTTAGGCTTTAGGATGTGTATTCCAAATGGTCCCCTCTACAAGGACACCTTTGATCTAGGAATACCCCAAACCCCAAGCCTGGCTGTGTAAATGGCATGGTTTTCCTGTAAGCTCCCCTAGCTTATGCTGACGCTGGAGAAGAGGTGCGAAGGGGTGTTACAAAAAAAACCTTAAACTCCAAACCCTAAAACCTTATGTAACCCTCCATTATTTTCCATTATTCCGTCATAATCCCAATGTAAAACCATATAACCCCACTATAGTAGTTTCCAATTCATTTTCCGTTATTCCATTAAAGCCCCAATGTAACCCCAACGTAAAACCCTATTCGATGGGTACTGGTAAGGCAGATCGGCGGCACCAACTTGGGGGGGTTGCGGGATGGCTTTTCAAAGGAGGAGTTCCTCTACAAGATGAGCTCAAGCTGGTTCAGAAGATGTTTTTTTCCATGTTTTAGGGTTTGGGGGTTGAGGGTTGGGGGTTTAGGGTTGGGGGTTGGGGGTTTAGGGGTTTGGGGGTTTAGGGTTGAGGGTTTAGGGTTGTACCCAGTCTAAAACCAAGAATACTCAAGAACGATCAGTTTGAATTGGTCCCCAAGAAATTCCAGGATTGACATCAGCAACTGCCGGCTTCGCAAGGAGACTCTTCGACAGTGTCGACTATGCAGCCGCTGATGGGCTAATGGGTTGTTTCCAAAATTAGGGTCCCAGTGTTTAGGGTTTAGGGTTGTGACCCGCATACCGGGCCTTGGATGTCTATGGTTGTCTGTATCCCAACAGGGCTTTTTCCGAGAACAGCCCAGATGCAGGCTGAGAATGGGCCTATATAGAATAAACATTTTGCGGAATCGCGCCATGGTGACCACACTTGATATTTCCTTACATGTTCAGACTATACCACTACTAGTGGATAGGGGCTTAACCCCATCAATTAGCACTGATAAATTCCACAAGAGATAATGGTGATTATATTGAACCCTCTATATATTCCTAGTATGACGCTATTAGTGGTGGGAGCCCAGCCCAAACTATAGGTGGCAAAGCCTGGTTGAGACTCAGAGGAAGGCTGCCATTCAGGCGCCCGCAGGTTGTCTTGACAGAGTCAGGATCTGGCGAAAGCCAGTTTCAGAGAAAGAGTCATGCTAGAATCCTTGACTAGGTACCCCGGTAGTACCCTTTTTGCCTTGTGTCTTGGGGCTTCCTGATATTAAATCTGAACATCAAGAACAAGGGTACCCTTCTCACTAAGGGGCTACTGGGGAACCTTGTTGATGAGGACCTCATGCTTCTTGAGAAGCACTCTTTGTGCGTCCTCCAAGTCCTATTCTGCATGGCAAGCATCGAGGCCCTTACATGTAAGTACCTGCAGAACCAGTACACATAAGAACGTGCAGTTTCTATTGGAGTTTTGTGGGGGAGTGTAGTTGGGAGTATATGCGAATATACCGGGGAAAGTTTCTGCCAAGGCGTTGCTGGCTTTCATCGGGAAAACACGAAACAGCCAGCCCATTTCACACGCTGGCACGTCCCTGCAGAGATGGCCTACGCTTTCGTTGGCTCAGCTTCCTGCATGTGGTTTAGGGGTTTGGGGTTTTAGGGTTTCAGGGTCTGGGGCAATGCAAGGCTCTTTCGCGAGATTGCAGGACTAGAGCAGGAACGAGGCTGTTTGGAGGAATCCACTCCCCCTAACACAAAACCCACCGCTTTTTTTATGAAATATTCACAATATTCCATAATCCATGTGCCACAATAGGAGTGGTTTATAGGACCTGCAAGTCAGGGCTCTACTGAAATCCATCCTACTGTTTCAACCTTGTATAAGCGCTTGTCATTGTGCCTACCCTTTTTCTTATAGCCATTCAGGAGATTTAGGGTTTAGGGTTTCAACCCATGAAGATACTTGCAAACAGGGATCTCGGCTACTGCTGCTGCTTGGAGTATGGGATTTCATGTTGGTTCTGTGCTGCTGGGGGATCATGCAAGAAGCTGGAAGCTCTGTAGCCGAGTCAGCACTTGCGCAGCGGCTGCTTCAGCAATTGTTGGCAGCCTCTGACCATGGGCTACCTGCCAGAATCATGCTGCTGCCGTGAGTCTCTTAAGGCCAAGGATTATAGTAAGTACCAGTATGTGAAATGATGCACGGGATCTTGATTTGGCATGGGTGCACCAGAAAGCTTCAGTTGATTTCAGATCTCTGACTTTTCGTCTCACCATCAAGCCTATGCGCCGCACTTCGCATCCCGGGGCCCTGCAGGATGTTCTACACACTATTATGGACTGGAAGGTCCGCAGGCGACTATCCAGTTTTGGATGTTCTGGAACTTAAGAAAGTCATCTTGCGTTTTCGGCCACGGGGTGCTGCAGCCGTAGCGCAGACATTCAAATCCTTCTCCGAGTGCAGCTTGTCCGATTCCCGCTGTGCAGCCGAACGAAGTGCGCCAATGGCTATACTACAAGGGACGGCAGGATTGAATGAGAAGGGATAGTTTTCACTTTCAGGAGCAGGTCCCGACTCACAAAACCGTCTGGAGTTCTCATAGTCTCACAGCATTCACGGCCCTGATCTTCAAGATGCCAAACAAAAGCCAAACTTTCGACCGCTCCCATGCCAAGGGCTCCTAGCGGACTAAGTTCTCCAATAGGTTCCCTTCTTCCCTACTAACTAATCACAATAAAGTGCACGGAGGATTTGGTCATCAGATTTTAGACTTGTAGACTGAGCTAGCACTTCCGCCATACGGCTTCAACAAAAATTAGATAGGGTTTACACTAGTACCCCCCCCCAAAGGTACTCACCCCCCCAGATTTAGAACCCTATTAGGCCTTATTAAGCCCTATATAGTCCTTATTAGCTCCTTAAACCCTGGGGGGGGGGGGTACTATTGTAATCCCTTAAGACCGCTCTCCAGCTTAAAAAATTGCGTCGTCCATGTCTAGGACGGGGTTTGGTGAAGGGCTGTGGCTTGGGCAGCCTACAGTAAACCCCTAAACCCCTGAATCCTAAACCCCTAGAAGCCTAAACCCCTAAATCCTAAACCCAGGGTCTACACCCCTAAACCCGTTGCAACAGTTCGATTGCACTTTGGCGGCTCTGGGCTTCAGATCTCTGACTTTCGTCTCACCGTCAAGCCTATGTGCTGCATCTCACATCCTGGGGCCCTGTACTATTTAGGGTTCAGGGTTTAGGGGTATTAGTAGGGAATTAATGAATGCTAATATAGGGATAAAGGAAAAGAAAATGCAAACTCGTACATGATAATAGGGTGTATATTGGGGTCAGAAGGAGAACACGGGAATATATTCTATGGGGCTTATATTGATAACATAGGTACCATTGTCCCTTATTCCGTACCAACCCCAGTAGGCCCAGGAAGACAACACACGGATTTGGAAGGTCCACGGGAGAGTACCCAGCGTAGGAATTTTTTTAAGTGAAGAATGCTAGTCCATGTTTTGCGGCCACGGGGTGTCTGCAGCCGTAGTGCAGACGTTCAATCTCCAACTGCAGTTTGCCCGATTCCCGCTGTGCAGCCGAACGAAGTGTGCCAGTGGCTATATCAGAAGCGATGACAGGGTACAGATTCGTCCGTGAGGCCTAGCGACAAGAAGGATCTTCGACTAAACCGAGTAAACCGGGGACACAGCACTCAAAACATACGAATGTCCTGAAGCTGATTGGATGTATATTCCTTCATGAGCGGGGTTCTTGAAGTGTTGGATTCCACAGGTTCTCCTACAGGTAAGTCAGGCTGTCAGCGGCAAGGGCTCCAGGCCAGAGCGTAGCAGGTGAAAGCCTCAACCTAAACCTTAAACCCTGGCTCCTAAACCCTAGACCTTGAACCCTAAACTCCCAGACCCCAAACCAACCGCATGTTTCTCAACGAAGGAATCTCTTGGGGACGCAATGGCGAAGGGTCTATGAGCTCCTGTTCATGTTACGTACCATCAAGGGTGGACATAGAACCCCTTTGGTAGTTTAGTATGATCCCTCGTATATTCCCTAATAAGAAACCCATGCCCATTAAACTATACAATAGGAAATATTGACTGTAGCTGACATCATGAGGGCCCCTTAAAAGGATGATTAATTTTGCGAGAGCTCCCTGCTTGCCTGGCTTTGAATGTTGGCTCTGGGCGCACCAGCGTTCCGCGGAGTCTAACGATCATGCTTCTGCTCATGAGTTCTCAATATAGAACCCCTTTCCTACACTTCGTACCATAGGGTCATGGTTCTCATGTTCTCATGTTGCGGATTTTTCAAGTGCTCTTGCACGCGATGGTGCGGCTCTACTTTTCCTGAACAGAAGGCTGTGGTCAGTCCTACAGAAGCTTGCGCTAGAAGAGAAGCCAAGGACAGAAAAGCAGCCCATAGGATGAGGACTGGGCTAGGTAACATTCCCAAATGCTATACCCTAATTGTAGTTTCCATTTTATTTTCCATTATGCCAATTTTACCCATATTACCCAGGACACCTGCAGATCTTCTGATCTGAGCCTCATCAGCACGCCAAGAAGGCGAATCTCCATTTTCGACCCTGGAGGGGCCAGACCCTGGTGTGCAGGAATGTAGCATAGGGCAGTCAATGCCAACTGCGACCAGGGCGAGAGAAACAAGCCGGCTATTCTTGCCTATGTCATGCAGCTTTTCAATGAAGAGCCAGTGTCGCCTGGGGAGCACTTGAAATAATGATCTACCATAGTTGCCATAGTCAAGGTGCTGACCCCCCCCCGGAAGAGTGCTTTGTTCGGCATTGGTATTCCAGGATGTCTATAAGCAGCGGTCCCAAAATAGATCCCAATATACCATAGTACTCATTATAATGACTCCCAGACATGCGAACGCAACGCTCCGAAACCCGTGTGTAAGGAAGTCTTCACGTGTTTGTAGACAACTTCTCTGCGACAGGTCTGGTGACGGTGACTTGGCCAAATTCCTGGCTGCCTGGCAGCAGTGGGAAGGAACAGGGTCTGGGACGCAAGGTCTATGTGAGGGTTTCCAAAAAAAAAAAGAGATTTCTTTTTGGGCTCCTTATGACGGGGATTTTAGTGCACTGGCTCCATATTTGGGTCCCCCTATTTCGGAAACTGCAATGGGGGATGGTGCCGTGACTGAGGAAGTGTAAGTGTTCTGCCTAGAACGCTGAGGATTATCCCACAGTATCCTATCCAGACCTGCCAGGTCTGCCAGGCGAACCTGAATTTTGACAAGCAAGCAGTGGGAACACATAGGGTTCCTTTTGAGAAATTGATTTCATTCCGCAAGTATATTCCACAAGGAGGCTGCGCGCCCATCAGCTAGCTACATATTCTATCTACAATAAGTAATTTTGGCTGCAGCGCATGTGTTTGATCCCAAGCGCCGATTCCAAACCCTAAACCACTCACTGCTTATGATCCCCTGCCGAACCCAGTCAAGACCAAGGGTTCGAGTTTTTTCCGCAGATCTTTAGATCAAGCTTGAGGAGGTCAATCAGGCCGAGCCTGTAAGGGGAATGGCACGGGCACGCCCTGGTTCTCGAGGGCGCTTCTACACGGAGAGCAGCCATGCCCCCTTTGTCCAGCCTCCTCCAGTTGGCACGCCAAGGGGTCTTAGGACAAAAACGATCTATGGCTCTTGTGAGGGTACCAAGATTGCACCAAGCGTGTTCCGACCAGAGGTGCCCACAGCAGAAAGCCTCTCGGATAATGTTCTGGATGATGACTGTGCCTCTACATCCGATTCCAGAGCGCGGCCAGAGCCGCGGATGTCCACACGGCCAGACTCCCGCAACTCCGTGCGGTCAAGGCGGGCAGATAGCAGCACGGGAGGAGTCCCATGCAGTCCCAGGCTAATTCCTCCGGGGAGCAGATCCTCCTCAAAATCTGGGAAGTCTCGCTCCCCTAGCAGTGCGGGGTCCGCATCAAAAGAGAGCAACGGTGCCACCCTGCCAGCGCTTTCTGCTAAGAAGTCGTCAGTGTCCAGCGAGGCGACTGGATCATATTGGAAAAAACTTTCCAACCTCTAGTTTCCTAGGACTACATGAAACACATCATCGCTAGCGGCTAGCCTGGTTGAGAGCTCATGTTTCTTGTGAGCCAGGCGATGGAAGCCATCAACTCAGATCAGCTTGGCTCCAGCAAGTCGGACAGACCCGGCCAAGTTCGCAGACGCCTCTCCTTCGCAAAAGAAACGCTGGGCGACGTGGCACTTGCCATCCGCGAAGAGGAGAAGCAGTTTGAACGACTACTGCGTCTACTATATTGCTGGTGCTGCAACTCCTGCTGCGCCTCCTAACGCTACTGCTGTTCCTGGTATTATTAGTTGTACTCCCGCTGCCGCCACTGCTGCTACCACTGCTGCTACCGCTGCCGCTGCCGCTGCCGCTGCCGCTGCTTGCCGCTGTCACTGCTTTGGTAGTCAACCCCAAGTCCTTGCGTGGATTTGTTGGAGGAGCCTGACCTCGAGTGGCTGGAAGACAGCTGGAGCCGCATTCTGGTAAGCACCCCTCCATCAGATTGCAAGACACTCTCCTTGCGCTCCTTACACAGCTGCTCAGGGAGTTTCTTTGGGTAGCTTTTCTCTTTTTGGGGTGGAGCCCTTTCAAGCCAAGGCCTGCCCAAGATCAGCTAACAGAATCATCCTTCAGATTTCCTAAAAGAGGATAGTGAAGCCACAAATCAGCCCAACGGTCTGGTCTAGTTTTGCTGGTTTCTAACTTGGGCAAGTTTGATTCCTGCTGTCATGCCTGGGAACTTCTGACACCAGGGAACCAGGACAAACCAATCGCATGTGCTAGATGCCTTAGTCTGCTGTTCTGCCTGCTATTCTATCAAAACATTAAACACCATCTACTTTGTACATATTGCCTGAAGCAGGCCATTTAAAGGGACCTAAGCCATATGCACATATGCATCTCCCGCCTTCTCTCCCCTATAAAAGTACTCAGCCCAATGCCCCAAATCCCTAAACCCTAAACGCCTAAACCCCTAATCCCCAAACCCCAAATTAATCCGTAAAACCATAAAACCCTGAACCCCAAGGCTGGGTGGAAGTCTACAACCGATGGCAAGCAACAGGTGGATGGAACCCTGGGCATGCGCCGGCTGCAATGGATGCTTTCCAGTTTCAGGACTCGTATAATAGCCCTCAACCCTGACCAAAACCCTAACCCCTAAACGGATCAGGGTTTAGGCCTTCGGGGTAGTTAGGGAGATCCAGGGAGATATAATGTAGGAATGCCAAGAGCTAGGGTGAGGCTAGGTAAGCTTCAGGGTTTAGAGGGCTTGGGGTTCAGGGTGCATTTCGCCCGCACTCGTTTGCCCCTCCTCTTCTCCAAAAGGAAGCTCATCCATGCCACTTTGATGTTCACCCTAACCCCTAAATTTCAGCTGGGGTTCTTAGCTGTCAAGATGATTGATCAAACACCTCTATGAAGCTGGGGGCGACCGGAATCCCCCGCACGGAACAACACGTTTGTGCGAATGAATCCCCTGCCCCGACAGTAAACCCTCCCACCCCCGTTGAAACGCAGACAGAATGTTTAGCATGAGATGGCTAGTGCTGCCAGGTTGCTATGAAGGGTATTAGAACAAGTTAAGTTACCAAATAGCGGAGCTGCTGCCAAATTTTCTTGCATTGGTAACAATATGAGCTCCTTATATCCTATAACGCCAGTTTCCATTCAGTCTCCATTCTGGTAATGTGACCCTGTTTAGTAGAACGCTTCGCCAGAAGCTCTTGTAATACCTTTAAATTGGAACCTGTTATGGTAACGTACTTTACGTTCTGTAACAGCAACCCAGATCAAGGGCAGGGGATTGCACAAAGCCTAAACCCAAAAGCCTAAGCCCTAAACCCTTAAACCCCTAAACCCTAAACCCATGGCGTAGGAGCTCCTCGCCGTTCCTATGTGCCGACCTGAGCTGCAGATGAGTTCAGGGCTTAAGGGTTTAGGATTTAGGGTTTAGGGTTTAGGGGCTTGTTGTTTAGGGCCTTCTACCCACCAAGGTTCCCCTTTGAATTAATCAGTCTCCGCCCTCATTATCCCAAAGCAACCTCAAGTAAAGGGTCTCCTGGAGGGTTACCCATGAGTTTAGGCCTCAAGAAGTCAGGGCCCAAACAACCCCGCGCTATTTCCACATAATTCCCACACCTGACCCCGTTGGTAGGCAGCAAAAGTCCCTCTTCGAATACCTATTGTAGTGGCGAGTCACTGTTTAGTGGCAGTTGTTCCAAATCGGGGTCCCTAGTAATAACAGTATTACTAGTGATAACAGTAACAATAGTAGTAATAGTAAAAGTATTCATGAGAATAACAATCGAAATACAAATAAATAATACTTAATAATAGGAGTTCCTTCTGGTTGGTGTCCCTACCACGAAGAGGAGGCCATGGTGTTTGCATAAATCTGTTTCTCACTATCTCCTTTGCACTTTTAGGTTAAGATACACCAAGAAACCCAAGCCACTTTGCATACCCAACAGATGCTCAGGGTTTAGGGTTAACATCTTCAAATTTGAAAGTAGAGCTTCCATATTAAGAGTGGGCTATATGTTTGGGTTAGCCTCCCCCTGTGTGGTAGTTTGTCAGATGATGGTCCCTGTTCGCGCCTGCTGTGGCGTCGTAGTACAGGCTCTCCTCCACTAACTAGGGTGTCCCCAAAAGTGACCCTAGGGTTTAGGGCTTAGGGTTTAGGGAATCTTTAGGATGCCCCCAAAAGGGACCCTGCTTTTAACACCCCTCCCCCCTCCCAAAACGGTACTTCGACTTGGGAGCCTTTGGCCATAGAAGTTGCCGAGGCCAAAGGCCATGGAGTGGGTCAAGCTCTTTGATCCGGCGGGGCATATGAAGATACCGGGTTGCTGCTAAGGAATTTCCACGACCCTATAGTCCCCCTTAAGTAGATAGAATATGGGAATCCTATTTTAGCATGCCCAAAGTCATATTCTCTCCACTTAAGGTGGACTATAAACACTAAACCGTGTAAACTAAATACCAAGGTTCCTCTAGCTTGGCGCAATGTCCTGAACAGCAACCAAGGATACAGCAGACGCGATCGGCATCGGACTACCGCAAAGTGAGGGTCCCAGTACCTGCCTTCCTGACTGCTGCTATCTTCCTGTCCAGCTCAATATCCAAGAAGCAGAAGCTTCGTTTCCTCCTAGGGGTTTTCGATGAGAACGACAGCGGTACGTTTGAGATAACGGAATTCATCTCAATGATTTCCTCTTTCTTTTTTGGGATTGGCTGCGTTTTCAGCATGCCGAACCTGGACAAAAGCGCTACTACCCGACAGAACTATGGCAGGCAGCTGGGCCGTTGTTGATCTTTGAATAGCTAGACTTTCTTGTGCAGACGTACTTCCGACAAGAAGAAACAGAGCTTCTCCGTGTTGGTCCCATCCGTAGCCAAGGCAGATCTTTCGGAGAATCCTGGGGTTCGCAGAAGTCAAGATGGCCTCAGAGGCAGAAAGGGTGATGCTGGCACAGGGCTCTGTTCCACTTGCCATCATCGAGGAATGGTTTCTGGGAGAGACAGGGGATCCACTCGCCATACCCTTCGCGCTTTTCCTTGAGCGTTTCTCAGTGAGAGGAATCGACGATGACCCAGAGCTTTTTGAAGATGAAGATCGGAAGTTCCGCTTGTCCCATGTAGCCCCGGTTCAGCCACCCATGGAGACGGCTGCGTCGCTGGATTCAAGCTTTCTTCGTCGAAGCCAGATTCGGACTGTCAGAGACCTCTTCAACTGGTGCTGGTCCAACCGCCATTTTGCCATTTCCCACGCTGAAGCCTCGCAGATCGTGGGTAGCGCGATCGCGGCAGAATTCTGGATTGGAAAACTTCGACAAGCGCTCGAGGAAATGGAGACTCTCCGGGAGGATGGTGCCCGGTTAAATCTCAGCATCTTCTTGAAGAAGATTTGCCCTCGAGCTTCTGCACGCCATGTTCGCATGTTCCAGACTTGGCTAAAGGAGCTTGATCAGTTAGAAGATCTCAGGAAGCAGCTTCATAGTGGACGAAGGCAGGGGGTTCGAAACAAAATTAATCAGGTTAGGAGGGCTTGGGAGTTGTCATGAAGAGCCTGGATGCAAAAGGGGGAACTCTGCGTGCTAAGCCATAAGCAGTAGTTTCCATTTTATTCTATTTTAGTATATTATACTATAAGTTTCTGCAGACAGATCAGGTTACAGCAGGCGCATGCCGCCTTTACCTCTCTACCTGTGCTGCCTGCGCCAATCCGCCAAGAGCTACTCCAGGATTACCACAGGGTGGAGATCATCAAAGCGACGCCCATGAGCAAGGATGATTACATTGCTGCCATGTGCCCAGAGGAGATCAGGAAACCCAAAAAGGGGTTGAAAGGCTATGCAGGGAGAATGGCGAAGAACATGGAAATTACTATAGGATATACGGGTTATGTAGGGATAATGGAAAAGAAAATGTCAACTACTATAGTATATAGGGGTAATGGAGAAGAAAATGGAAACGACTATAGTATATAGGGGTTGTATAGGGATAATGGGAACATCAAAACTACTATAGTATATAGGGGTTGTATAGGCATAACGGAGAAGAAAATGGAAACTACTATAGAATAGTATACAGGGGTTGTATAGGGATAATGGGAAAGAAAATGGAAGCTAGTATGGTATATAGGGGTTATATAGGGATGATGGAAAAGAACATGGAAAGTACTATTTATAGGGTGACATGCTGAACAGGCACTATTACAATGAAGCTTCGTACACAGTAGCAAGCTTGACGCTTCGAACGCATTTCATATGCTCAACGCTCGTCCTCTCTATTGTAGTTGCACTAGGAACGGAAGTTCCTGGTCGGGTCCCACGCAACGGGGTTTGGGGTTTGCTGAAAGGGGTCACACTGTTGCAGAGCGCGCCACTGAACGCCGCTGATGAGAGAGCGACACACAGCAGCTGCTACCAAAGCCTCAAGCACCGGTATCCTGCAAACTTACGTTAAACTTGAAAAGCGGGGGGGCCCTAGAAAGGCTATGGTCCTCTGAAAATGAGACCTATGGGGTCCCATGCTAGTTGAAGAGCGGGTATACGACTTGCCGTTTTTCTGAACCACTCCATATTCAATGTCACGAAGCACGGAAGCATTGCAAGGAGTACCGTTCGGCGGAGGTCAATTCCTTGGTGGATGGCGTAGTCGCCGAGTTCCTAACCTTGCAGGCGCAGACTACTGGTTAAGGTTGAGGGGTTTTGGATTTAGGGTTTAGGCTTTTAGGGTTTAGTATTTGGGTTTCGATGCTTTAGGGTGCACGCTAGTGATAGTCAGTGCTTTCCATGTCTGTTCTCGCCAGCTGCTGCGGCTGCTGCAGCTGCTGCGGAGGAGGAGTTACCCAGAAGTAGAGTTCTCCGAAAGATAATCACATGAATTCTTATCCTGTCAACCCCGAAAAATGTCCATTGACTACGAGCAATTTCCATGTCAGTGCTGAAGACTCAACCCCTAAACCCAAAGCCCCTACACCCCTAAAAACCTAAACCCTAACCCCTCAAACCCCAGCCAGGTGGGTAAAGTGGAGGCCCTCTTGGCCGCCAAGGAGGCCCTCTTCGCCGAGGACACCTCCATGAACAAGGCCGTAGCACTTATGGGTTTGGGTTTAGGGTTTAGGGGGTTCAGGGTTTAGAGTTTCAGGGTTTAGGGTTTTAGGGTTTAGTTTAAGGGTTTAGGGTTAGAGGGCTTAGGGTTTAGGTTGGGTACTGCCCCCTCCCAGTAACAGTCTATATTAGGGGTCCTATGAAGGGCTATATATAACCATATTAGAAATGTTATCCAACTGTTAGCAGTACCCAAGGTATCAGTTTACAATTTGTGTTAGCCTTCTTTCCTATCTAATCCTTGTACAGACACAAAAATCTGAACAGTTGGCAGGAGCTATAGTCTAGACTCCTTAACGGGGGTTATATAGGGGATTATATAGAGGACTCCTATGGGGTTATTTCGGGGATAGACGACTATTATGGCTGTTACTTAGGGGATTATATAGAGGACTATTATGGGGGTTTTTTAGGGGAGCTTAGAATATAGCTCATCTGAAATGAAAGGTCAATAACGGGAATTCAAAAAAAGCCGAGCCAGCCAACACGATACAAAGAATGCAGAACCGCTAAGAATTGGGGTAGGTGACATCTCGCGGCTACAGCTGTTTCCTGCCTTTCAGCGAAGGAACCCCAACAAACTATTTTTTCCTGAGGACAGCGCCGCAAAAACATATTCTCAACCTTTGCGTATGCTCTCCCGCTTGGGGGGTAAGGGGGGCGTAGCAAGCAGGCTAGTAATGGGGATAACTGGAAATGCTATTTGGGATTAAAAACACGTTTTCGTTGAAAATTGCAACAACCATCGAGCTGCATCGAACTGCAGAGTATGCTTGCTGAGAGCAAGCTTCCGGGCACGAGTTGAGGTGGACCAGAGCTACTCCCGCTGCTAGTATAGACCCAGATCAATAAACCTCCTCCCCTTACTGACATTCTTGCTTGGTGCTTGGGCCATGCGAGTGTTGAAGCCCAGCCAAGGCTGTGAGGAGTGCCAAGTGCTTCCTGAAACCAGAGGTGGCGGTTTCCCCAAACTTAGGAGTGCCTTTAAAGGGGGAATCCTGAGTTATGTAGGGATATATGGGGTATGGGGTTTAGGGGTCCATATTGGGTCACAAAATTTGTGGAAACTGCCAGGTTCCCAAGGCTTCATGGACCCTATGGAACAAGGCCGGCTTCAGCGTCTTGATATAATGATAAATAGTAACATTAGTAAAATCAACAATGAGACTTAGTAGTAATAGTCGTATCGATGGTAAGAATAACGTTGGGGGTTATCCTTGAGGGTTTGGGGTCTAGGGGGTTGGGTTGAAGGATGTTGAAGGTTACGTTTCGGCCCTCGGGGGTTAGGGACTAGCCAGATGCAGAGAGGCTTGAAACTCCAGGCAGTCAAGATTTGTTTGGATTGGGGCGTGGCAGCAGTGATTGAGAAATTTCACAGGTCAGAGCTCCATAAGTCAGTCAACTTTGACCTTCGCAAAGTATTACTTCTTGAACCGGCACGAGAATTTTCTTCAAAAGCTATAGGGGTATGTAAGGGAGTATGGCAGGGTATCCACTAGGTTCCTATACTTACTGGTTCTCAGTAGGAAATAAGGGAAGAACAGCCTTATAAATTTCCTATAATTTCTCCCCTTATGTACTCCCAAATAAGAGCCAGTAAGTATGCGCTAGACCGTGGCAACCAGGCCTTTGACGTGCTGGACGCGGACTCCTGTGACTACCTGACACTCCAAGTGCTCCTGAAATCCAGGCCGGCTACCTAGCCTGGGATTTACAGTGGCCCTGGGGCTCCATGTCTATAATATAGATTATAGATATGACCTACAGTGAGCCCCAAAGTCTACACCTAGTACCTACATTGGGATTTTTGGAATTTGGAGTGTCTGGGTGCGTGATGTTCGGTTGAAAGAAACTTGAGAAAGCGACGGGCTCCGGACCGCAAAACACCAAGGCAGATTCCCCATGAAGTTTGCCACCACATGTGTCAGATGATGGGGAGCAATGACGCTGAGACAGCTGGGTTCAGCAAGAAGGCGTTCCTGCAGGAAATGACTGACATGAGCCACTGCTGCATCAAGAGGAGTTGGCAGGCAAATGCGTAGCTGCACTGGTAAAAAGGCCGCGGCTTCAAGCGCAGGAGCAGAGTTTGGGGGTTGTTTGTATGAAGTGTGGTTAGGGTCCTGAGGCTTAGGGCCTCACTAGAGCAGTATCCTAGCAGGTCACAAGTAGCAAATTACACCTGTATCTTGGTCAAGCTCGTGCAAGTGCAAGTCAGATCGGGAGGGCTGCAATACCTGCATTCTGGCAGACTGTTCAGCAAGATATCTGCTCCGCTGGGTGGTACCGTTGAACATCCTGCACGACCCTAAGCCCCTTAAAACCCAGACCCCTGATTGATACACCCCTTCCCCTTAAAAGGGATTAGAATAGGGATCCTGATGTTTAGGCCCTTAGGAGAAGTTTCATTAATCATGGGCTACATGAAGCCCCTTATACCTTGGGAAACATGGCATTACGGGATACTAAGTTCATGCAGGATTCTTCGTATCACCAGCATGGCCAGAGACTAATGTGGACTCATGATTAATGAGCCCCCTCCTTTTAAGGGCCTAAATATTAGGATCCGTATACTGTTCCCTAGTAAGGGGAACCGGTTTATTCATCAGGGGTCTGGGTTACTGGAATTTATTCTTAGGTGCTTGAACCATTGCAACACCAAAAGGGCTCGAAAGGCAGGACAGCTCCTTCCTTTTCATTTCAAGCCGATTCAGTCCCAGCTCAGTACATGCCCACCAAAATTGTGCAATACATATATTGATAGTTGCTACTGTTGTGTTTAGTGTTTCGGATGTTGCGTGATCGCTGTCATTACTTACAGTTGAGCTATTTATCTTAGCAATGCAACTATCAATACCATCACCACTGGATGTGATATGTCTTGCTGGAAGAAGTCTGCGGGAACTTGCAAGGGGCCCGTTCCAATACCGAAGCAGGTAATTAATCACCAACTGGCCATTTATCAAGGCTCTCCGTGCGTGGATTCTTCCGTCTAGTATCGGGAAGTAGGCCGGCACCACAGCAGTGATTCGTTGAAGGCTGTTGCTGAGGAAAGTCCTTTGACAAATGGCCAGGCAAGCAAGGGGCACTTGCTGCACTGATCCATGATGCCCTTCTGCAGTGACCATCTGAAGGCATCTGAAGATACCCAAGACATGATGGGTATCTGGTGATGCCTGGCTTACCAGTCAATCAGTGTACAGCTCACGCCCTCCGCAGTCTGGAGACAAGTCAAGATCTGGCATCTGCCAACGCAGGCCTAGTTGAATTCAAACAAAGCGGTTTCCTAAATTAGGGATACGATTTTGGGGGTCCCCACGATATGGAATGTAGTAGTCCTTAGCTGGCCATAAGCGCCGTCTGAGCGTTGATTCTCAACAAGATCTTAGAGCAGGAGAGCCCTCGTTCTTGGGAATCTTAGATTGGATTATAGCATCTTGGGGTCTATATAGGGGTCCCCCCCTATTTAGGGAAACTACCACCAACCTGGGTTTATCTGATGCTGGGTGGATGCAAGAGCGCAGAGCAAGCCGGGCGGAGACGGTGAAACAGGACTTGCATTGAAATTATGTAGGGTCTGAGTCTGATGAAGCAGTGAATACGTGAACTTTTTCGCCTCGCTTCAGACGCTCTGTGACACTACAGCAGGACCCAGGGTATTTTTTGAATGGCTATAAATTGTAGTTTTTTGAGCCCCAAAATCGGGCTGCACATCATCTCCTTGCTATTCCTACACGTCCTCATGTTGCTTCGACTGATGGTGTGCCGAAGATTGGGAATAAAGAGGTCGACCTAGACTTGCAGTCATGCCAGCATGAAACCCGGTAGAGACGGCTTTCATCCATCTACCAGGGGGCAGGCTTTCAACTTTGATCAATCTCGCAAGAGTCAAAACTATGGGCCCCATTCATACCGCACAAAATAGACGTTGGGTACTGCCCCCATTCTTTACTGTACCAGCTGGATAATGCAATGATATGTGGTTTCAAATCGCCCGTAATATGACCTCAAGTATAGACTGTTGCATGGCGCGGGCAGTACCCAAAATAGACATATTAGAAGCCACAAAGCGGAGACCTTGATTCTGCGAAACGTGCATTTTGGGGTTGCGTTCGCGGCCAGCTGCTGGACGTTGTTTCCATTGATGAGGCAACTTCTTCCCGGTGCTTGGTGGGGAATGGAGTCCTTGATCCTAAATTATGGGCTATCCTTTCACTTCCCCTCTTTCCCCAAACAAGGCCTAAACCCAAATAAGTACCAAATAACCACTAATTTGGGCTTTAGTTAGGCTTTATTTGGGTGATGGGGAGTAAGGGGGTGGGTAGTTCAGGAAACCTTGAATAAACCAGGGAATTACAGACAACGAACGTTCTTGGAAATTTGAGGGTTTAGAGTTAAAGGTTTAGGGTTTCTCTAACGGTGCTGTACAAGGTATGCATTCCCCCATTTCCTTACGAAGCACTAGGCAGACGTCCTGTGCTGGCGGTTGCTTGCATTACGCCATTGGCTCTTCAGAGTTATGATTTGAAAGTTTACTGCAGAAGCCTGAATTCAGGAGTATTGTCCGATTGTAGTTGTCCTTCATAAAGCACGTGGTGCAATTAATAAGCGACAACCCAAATTTGATTATCTGGACCCCTAGAAAAATCAAATATGTAAACCCTGCGGTCCTCCAGTGTGCTACTACTACTATTATTGCTTTTCTGCTTATTCTTATTACTAAGACTATTGTTACTGTTATAACTGCTATTATTGATGCTACCGGAAAGGTGTAAGTCAGGAACTCGCAGGTGCCTAGCTCCCCTATGGAAGCCTTTCACTTACTTTTGGTCAGTTGGGAATGAAGGAATGCAAAAAAAAATGGAAACTACTATATAGGGCTTAGGGTTTAGGGTTGAGGGTTAAAATGAAAAAGGGAAGCTGCTATACGCAGGTTTTAGGGTTCCGAAGGAACGGAAACGAAAATGGAAACTATTATAATGGGTTATATAAGGACTGCTATAAGGATCCATTCCTTCATTCCTAGCTCACTGAAAAGGTAAGTATAACAGCCTTTGATGGCCCTTATGTACCGACCCCCTCAACTGAAAACTCCTTGATGGAGGGACCTATCATTTCGAGAACCTTGCATGCGCAGTGCATTCGTAGAAGGTGGCGAGATTTCGCAATTAGAACATCTTCATGCGCGCTTCAGAAGAGAAGGAATCTCTGGGTTGAACTTAACGATCACTAAATCACTGTTCATCAGACCCTCATGGGCGATACAGACCTGTGGCTGTGGCCCAGATTTTCCAGCCCATGGGGGACGAAGGGCCAACGAGTTCATTCATGAAGCGCTGGTACACCGGGGTTTCTGAATATCAGGGACCATTTTGGGGGGGTCCTTGTATTACAGCAAGGACTATGTTGTTTGGGTTCTGTATTGGTCTGCCCTGTTTGGAAACTACCACATCGTCCCAGCCACAGTCTTGATGCTCCTGTTTGATGGTTTGAGCAAATCAGATAGTTTGCGGCGAAGTGCGCACAAAAAAGCAAAAACACACATTCTGGAGCTGCACCGTCCCATGCAGGCACGCAAGCACAATCAAGTTTGCTCAGCATATGTGTGCGCTGTGTGTGCCAAGTGCTTGCAGCAACCATCCCTGCAATCAAAAATGAAAGTGGCCCAAAACATGTACAGACCAGGGAGTAGGGGTCCTTGGGCACGACTCTCCCAAGAGATTGGCTGCCTTCTTGGAAACTCCTGAGAAGGAACCTCTTTGATGCTCCGCCCAGGCCTTGGAGCTGCTGATGAGTGCAGCGCAACTCTAGGGACTTTAGGAGGGACCCCTAATAG